CGAAAACTATAAGCAAAGAATGTTAAGTGGTCATAAAAACATCATTAGAATCAATGAATCATAGGAAGAATCAATAAAATATGTATTTACTTTTCTGGCTTCCTCATAGATCTGTACAGCCAATTCTCTTGTTGGGGCTAAAACCAAAGAGATTGGATATTGTTTACGGCGTCCGTACCTTCCATTTTCCTAAGAAAGAAGTATAATTTATTAGACTCAAAGATCCAACACTATTATTCTTTTTTAAAGTTGTAACAGCAAAAATCTGTCTGTAATTTAAGGAATACATCCCCGAATGAGTTTTTACTGCAGAAATAGATTGAAAAGAAAATCTGCAGAAATAAATATAAAGTATATGTAGTATCATTTAAAAAGAAAGATCCCAGCAGATATTCATAAAAATTTTTCTAAGCAAACTTATTTTATAAAGAAACCTTTACCTTCACAGCTTTCAAAGCCTCGCCTGGACCATCTGCATAAATCTGACTCAAGATGGGCAAAAGAAATGCTGCAGTTTTTCCAGACCCTATTAAAAAAATACTGGCTATTTAACTTTGAATATTAATAAAGTGTTCCAAATGTCCTTTAATAAAAGATAAATTTACTTAACTCTATGCATAAATTTTCTAGGAAATAGGGTAATTTACATAGCTAAGCAAATAATGCCAAATGATTTCTGTGTCCTTTTAAACAATGCAACATTCATTCCTTTGTATTTCACTCTGAACAAAAAACACAACCATTTATCTCTAAACTGGTATCAACTTCAATTTCAATACTTTTTTTGGTGCTATTACATTCTGGAAAGTAAAGCACAATTAGCAAAGCAAACTTTCTGAAGAATCTAACAGTAAAGGGCTTTACAGATCAGTCTGTCTCCATTCACTGGGTATAGCTGTTTCAATAAAATGTTATTTTAAAAATCATGTGCTGAGTTTGGCCCAAAGACCGGTTAAGTATAAAAGATGTAATTCTACTACTTCTTATAGCAAATGTATTAACAAATGATTCAAGTTTTATATATTTCTATCTTTTACGTGTTTTACCCAGGCCAAATTCTGATACAGGACTAAACCACCCCCACTCTCCCATTCTTCAATTCCCAAGTATTAGGTAGAAGGCATCTTTCATTTTCTACACCCACATTTTTATGGATCGTAGGCTCTTCTGTGATTTTATACTTCCTATTCCAATTATGTTGCTAACTTTCCCTCCACTGCATTAACTATTTTCCCCTACTACAGTTAACACCAGGCTAACAATTTGTTATAGACTTCCCCATAATTCTCTGAAGAAAACACTACTTTCACCCGAAGGATCCAAAAAAGAAAAGAGAGATCCTCTCCTAATCCTTACCTAGCTTAAAGTCAGCCTAAACACAAGATTCAAGTCTCCATGCAGAAATTAACTCTATTTAAAAGAAGCCCAATTAACCTACTAACTTTTATTCAACAAGTAAAGTTACCTGTTTGGGCACAAGCCATCAAATCTCTTTTTTCTTTGATAATAGGAATGGCATGTTTTTGTACTGGAGTAGGACGAGTATAACGAGTAAGCTCAATATTCCCCATAATAATTTCTCCCATCTCAACATCGCTGAACTGTCAAAGAAATTTAACCAAATCAAACAGAGACAAGTATAAATACCCTACCTGCTGCAATTTGTTATACTAAGAATAAAAGAAACTAACTAAATGTCTATTTGTGATTGAGTTTATAGTTAATTTTAAGTCCCCCTCCCCGCCCCGCCGCGCCAAATCAATATATTTTTAAAGAAAATGGACTCAAGTCTAATGCACAAAAGTAGTTTTGGGGTCATGTTTGACATTCTCTCCACTGCAAGATTACTCATAATAGTAACATTAATTTTAGTCTCTCCTTTTTCATAACTTAAGATATTTTTAGTGGAAACTTTAAAGAACTGTTTAAATATCAAACAAATAAAAGATAAATAAAAACAAAAAAATAACTTACACTTTCAATATGTGGAGGACAGTTATTGCCGGTTGCCTCTACTGGAATATCATCATATTTCTCAAAGTTAATCCCAGTGTTTCCTCCAGAAAACAGCTCCCTGAAATAATATGATTATTATATATATTATAATAGGTAGTAAGTTTCTTAACAATCAACATACATTTCAAAAACTTACTGCTCCAAGCGTTCACTTGGTGGAAGTGGTTTTGACCAATCATCTTCATCTGATCTATCACACCAACGACTGTGTCCACTCCTATCAAATTTGCCAAAGCCAGTCCTGTCACGACTGCCGATACCATCATAGTCACTCCGACCACGATCATCAAATCTGAACAGCACAAGTAATTGATAGAGTACATCAATTAGCCAATATCATCTTAACATCATTCAATATACAGGTATTTGTATATTGAATTGTACTTGTATATTGAATCACTAGTCACAGTTACCTTTCAAAGATATTAACGATTCAACGCTGGCTACCTCATCATTTGTGAAATAAGGCTATCTACTTAACCAATGGTTATGTATAATTTACGAACTTTATTTCAAAAATTCAACACTCCTTAGAACTTTTTACAAAACGGATAGCTTAAATAGTTCTCAAATGCTAAGAATTAAGTTTTACAGTACCTGTAACCAGTAAGTACTTACATATCTTCATTTTACAGTAATCTAAATACACTTGATAGAAAAACAAAGAAATAACAAATACCAATTGTCCTAGTTACCTTTGGATAAAAAGAAAAATCCACTTACATGACAAAAATTAATGTTTTTAGTTTTAGCATGCTTTGTGAAAAACAAATACAGAACCAACCACAGATATTAAGTTCTCTCAATTTACTACACTTACACAATCATAAAAAATGTCTAACTTCTATAGAGAAGCTGTAATAACATAAAAACGAGGTCAAATAACATTCTTATTGCCATGTAATTTCTGTTTAGAAGTTAAGAACCTAACAAAGACTTTTTAGAGCCAATAATTAATTAACCAAAAATCCATAATAGAAAAATGGTCTGTTAAGGAAAATACAATGATTAAGGATCAAGAAATGTATAAAAATGATAATGTATCAAATTAAGAGCTGGTTCCTAAACTGGTATTGTATACACACTTGCAAGCTGAGAATAATTTACCTTCCCCTTGATCCGCTGCCACGATCACTGAAGTAACTGGACTTTCCTCTTGAATCTCGAGACCCAAAACTGCTGTATGCGTCCTTATCTTTACTAGAACTCCATCCTGAACTGCCTTTATCATAGAATCCTTCCAAAAAAACCCCCCAAAATTAGAAATTGGCATTAATTTACATAAGTTCTGTCTTTCCATATAAGTGCCTAGTCATAGACAGTCTCTCTTATTTTATCCTTTGGGCAATAGGGAAGGTGGTGGTGCGGTGAAGCAGAACCAAGTGTTAAAGGCATTACTTTTATCAGAACATTTGAAAAAGAAACATGATTTACATAATTGGTTTTCATCAGTAAACAATTTTTACTATCTTTAATCATCTTTCCCACCGTAAATTATTATGCAAAGTAACCTCATGATCTAAAAAATGAAGTACTGAAAGAATACATCCCCCAAGAGATTTATAAAACAGAAGCCTACTCCATAGAGATCATTTTAACAAGACTATGGTAAGACCCTTTTTTAAAACTATGGCTGCTCTCAGAGGAATCCCAAGTGCCTCCCGCGAATTTTTAACCTCACAGGCAGAAGCTAGAAGAGCTCTAAGCTACTTTTTTGTTATGTCCCATCCCTAAATATAAATCTCACAAATGCTAAATACAAAAATTGATTTAAAATATTTATTATATAGCAGACATGCAATACACAGTTTGGAATTCCCAGATACTGTACTGTATCTAAAGAAGAGCTTAAATTAAGAGATCTACAACACAATTACCAATAAAAAAAGTATGTAAAATATATTAGGACAGAGAATTTCTATATTCATAAAAGATGAAACCCCAAAGTTCACACACTGAATTATGCTCAACATAGTCATATGGTAAGTGTCATGGTGAACGACAGAGACTTATTTAATGAAATAACTTGGAGAAGACACGTTGATAGTAACCTACTATTAATGATATAATTATGACAAATCAGTTGAGCATCTTCCATAAATAAACAAACTGGCTTAGTGTAACACCTAAAGAAATAAAGTGAAAGTAGTCAATATTAAAGGAGTTTCAATGTTATTTTGTCCCAGCAGACTTTTGAGGACTCCTGAAAAGTGAAAAGTAACTGTATTCAAAAATTACCACTGGGTTTTAATGACTTGACAACTTCAGGTACAGAATGGTAAAACATTTAGAGCAAACACATTTTCCCATAAGAACTCTAAGAAAATTCATAACCCAGGCAATAATGTCTACTATTTGTCAAATCCTAGGAGTCCAAAAATATTTATTTCTATAAGCTTAGTGAGAGTCAGACATAATGGGTGTGTGGGTGGGGGGAACCCATCCTTGCCTTATTTCTATATGGGCATCTATCTAAAAACACATCTACAGACAGAAAAAGGAAGGTGACACAGGTAAACTCATTCAACAATTAAGCTGATATCTAGATTCAGACATTTATTGTTATTTTCCCTCTGCTTTATAGCTCCACTAGTAGCCAACCAGCTGGTTTTACTAGCTGGAAAAATGCTGTTTTTAAGGTGTCTTTCATTTCTCAACTTTCTAAGATACTGCCAACTCCATTTAAAATATTTAGTATACCTTGGATGCAATTCCAGCCAGATACATTTGGAGGAATACCCATGCCAGAAAACTGTTTAGTTACTTTCAGGAAAAATAAAAAATCCTATCATTAGCTAAGTGATCATATGGTAGACAAATAAATGTTTAATGCTATAAACTACATATTATACCTTGGAGGCAGAATACCCAATCACAAGCTACAATTTATCCTCCCCACTTCTTTATCTACCTTCTTTCCTTTTGGCTTTACTTTTACTGACCTTTGCCTTATTGATCCCCATCTGGGTGAGTATACAGCACTTAAAACTGCAATAGGTTCCTATCACTCAAAAGGGTTCCTATCACTCTATATTAAAAACTTAATACTAAAAGGCATCAGGTATTTTCAAAACATTGCAGACAAAACCTTTCAAATTAAATTTATAGAAAAAAAGCTGAGAACAATCCCTCCAACTTGCTGAGTAATTCTAGAATTGTTAACTACTCTGCAATAATTCCATTTTCATTGTGGCAATATTTCAAGACAGCAATAAGTAGGGCTTTACTACCATGTGGTTAGTTGTTTTACCTAATAGGGACTCCCACCGCATACATACAAACACAACTCTTTCAAAATGAAACCACATCAATGTTTACAAAGTGCAAAAGTAGTGAACCTATACTAGTGTAATTATACTAATTAAACTTTGGGTTCAAAATTGGTAAAAAAAAAAAAAAAAAAAAGTGTGGATTATGCAACATTAACTCTTTTAAAGTTAGGAGTGCTAGTTTTTAAAAACAGAAGCACTAAAGAAAAATTGTACATACACTCTCCAAAGTTATCTCATTTTCCCTAAGCTTTAATTGACCTCTAAACACAGTAAAAGTTGTCAAGATCACCTACCTTTAGATGCTTCTCTGTTCCTTAAGTGAGGAGGTATATAACGCCCTTCTAAAGAGAGAATGTAAAATTAAAAGCCTATCATATCCAAGACACCTTTTTACAAGAATGTTGATTTAAAAACTGGTCCTTGAAAACACACTTTTCACACCTCTTTAAATATCTTGCAACAGGAGAAAAATATCTAAAAGTGGGTTATTGTTAATTAAGACTTTTTACTCTAAACCAAAAAAAAAAGGGGGGGTACCCCCAAACAAAACCAAAAACCAAAACAAAAAAAAAAAAGGTAGGGGAGGTAGCAAGTTTGGAAACATGGATTTTTAAAAAATCCTCAAACCAAATACATTTTAGTAACTATCACTACTGGTTACTTGACAAAGGTTTCAAAAGGCTCTAAATGTCAGGAATCTGTTACACAAATTACAACATTTAAAACATAATCATTACTGTAACAAAACAGCCTATTAAAAAAATAATAGCTACTGAATCAATTAATGAATTTCAATTAACCCAAAGTCTGTTTCCACTGGTAAAGACAATAAAAATACATAAAATCTCTAAAATAAAAATAATTCCAAGGAGAAATTGATACTATTAACTTTGAGTTTCCTGATTTAAGTTAACAGCCTAGTGTATAATTAAGAAACAAAAGAATTCAAGTCACAGTGTCAACTATTTAAGTCACAATATCAATTAAGAAGGATGTCAACTATTACCTAAAAATTCCAATTTTAATTAAATCTCTAACTTTAGATGGAATTAAGTATCCTAAATTATTAGCATATTTAAGTCCTTATAAATTCATACAATGGCATATAAGATTCAATATGTAATAACCAGATATAAAGAAGCTTTTCAGAGTATATCAACTTCTTTCTTAAAAATCTAAGTCCCAAGCTGCTGAGATCTGCTGCCAAATAAAGAATCCTTTCCCTCTCCAAACAGTAAAACCTAATAGTCTCAAAATAAATGAACACATAAATATATAAATAAAAATGTCCCCCCAACACACTGTTCTTTTCAAAAGATTTAACTTTTCCAAAGCATTTTACAAGGTTGACATTTTAATCCTAAATACCACCTAAGAAACAATAGTATACTTCTATTGTTAAGTCTCTGGTTCTTTGTGGGAAATGAGTTGTAGTAACTAAACCACAAAACATACAGGTTCCCTTAGTTAGGTTTAACATATTTCAGACAAGAGATGGACAAATCCTCATCTCCTTCAAGCTTGGCCAGGATTTATACTGGACATCAGTTTCTGAATAATGTGAATACTGAACTAACTTTCTACAAAATATTAACTGTCCCTTTAAAAAAAGTCTCATTATCCAGACATGCCAAAATACTTCAAATATTTATAGGCAAAAAGAGGAGGAAATTTTTTAACTTCAAATTAAAAAAAATGATATTTTAACACTTAGTTCTAATAAAGATTCTAAACAACAACAACAACAAAAATTTACTTACTGTTTGCTGTACTTGCCCCTCCACTCTGATTATCAGAAGAGTTCAGGTCTAGACCAGCAAACTAGAGGAGAGATTATTAACAGTTCACAAGCTGACAGACTATATAGGCTACTAAGGGAAAAATTAAGCAGATAGCCTTACGAACAAATTAGAAGTCCTAAATTCCAATCCTACCCAGTAGCATTTACTAGTTAGCTGCCATGTCTGTCATTCTTAATGCTTGTAAGGTCTACAAAGTATGACAAATGCAAAAGGCAGTTCCCAGACGCCACGAGCACACCAGTACATTCATCCA